CAAAAAAATTTATTTTGATGGTACATAAAAATAAATAAATTGAAATTTACATAATTTACATTAAAAAGGAAAAGAAATTTCTATTATATGTGAAAAAAGATAATCTATACAAGAAAAAAATAGATCTAACCTATATGAAAAATTAATCTTTCCAAAAATAAATTAACCTACATAAGTAATCATATTATTTTCATCCGATTAACTAATTCTCATCTGATCAACTTATTTTCATCTGACATCAAATGTAAATTAGGAAACCATTAAAAAAAAATGATTTTTTAATTTTTATTTAACTTATACAAAAATTAAAGATAAATAAACCTACATAAGACACAAAGAAATAATAGCAATAAGAAGAAAAAAACCTTTATTTTACAAAAATTAAAAATTTATTGAAGAAAATTCAATTTATACAATGAAAGATAATATTTATCATTATAAATCAAAAAAAGTCTCTCAGAACATATATTAAACAAAAATTTTAAGCCAAAGAATAAGGAATTCCTAATCCATCACCAAAAATAACTACAAACTTCCTAGAAAGGAATTAGTGAAAATTAGTACATGTAAATAATATTATAACAAAATATAATTTAAGAGTTGTAAATACAATATAGTATACCAATAATTTATAAAAAATGAGTCATGTGTTTCATAAAAAAAAATTTTTTTAAGGTAATTTGAAATTGATAGAACAATTATTGGACTCATATCAAAGTTAGATAATTCCACACTATTACAAACCCCAAGAATAAAATGATCATAGTCTCTACCACCACCGCTAGCAGTCAAATGTTGTAATTTACACAAGTGGGTATGAAAATGACCTGCATAAGACAACTGTTACAGGTAATACACTTAAAATATTTTCTAAGTTAACACAGTAAAGAACAATTTTATAAATTTTCTTTTATATACGTCATCAGAAAAAGCTTAATACTTTCTGACACAGACAGGAAAGATGATATAGCCATCAGGTTTTCAAATAATAACAACATGGGATGCACTGTGCCATTGTCTATTATGGGGCTACTACGTCAGGAAGAAGGAGAAGATAACAAAAGAAACACTTATTGAAGACTTATACCTCTTAGCAGAGATGTTCAAATAGATGGAAACAAAAGATGTAAGACCATCTATCAAAGATAAGCTTGAAAACTTGATTTGTACTGGGATTGCATCACCATCCTCTAAAACAATAATTAAATAAAGATAATAAAAAAATGTATTAACAGTGTTAATATTTTAGGACTTCGCAGAGTGGTCTAACAGGGGAAATGGTTGAGAATTAGGAAAGATATTACAGAATGTTCCAAACCAGATTTTGGGACAGACCTGGTAATTATTAAAGATCTTCTAATTAATTCTTATATATATATCTATATTAAATTTATTTTATTTACATTATTAGCAACACGGCATAGTATGAGACGCCATCATAAAAGGAAGCACTTATGGCCTCAAGATTAATTTTTTATATTTTTTATATTTTTTTTTTATTTTTATACATAAGAAATGAGATACAAGACAACAAACAAGTTGATTGCAAATTGAGGGTGGAGATGAATCCCTTTATAATTAATCCAGCCATATTTCTGTACCCAATGAAGAGAATACCTATGAGCATCCATGGGGAAACTGTTCCGAGACAGTAGCATGACAGGTTCTACTTGGTCAACATATTTTATTCTCCCTAATAATCCATTTGAAAAATATGAAGGTAATATGCAAAAAATGCGAAATCATGGGAAAATGGCAGAAAATGAATTAGAAGGGAATTGCAAAGATCATAGGGACTCACAATTAATACTGATCTCAGAGACTTGGACACTCTAGGTTTTAAATTTTAATCATATAAAAATCATTATTGTGAGACATTACTTTTTACAATGAAGCTATGTTTTCATAGCATATTACATATAGCTGATAGTATCAAAGATACTGTTCCAGTCTGGGTCACTTGGCAATTTCCAATAGAGCGAATATTTGGAATGCTTCTTCCTTATGCTTGATCACGACTTCACCCTTATATTTCTGGACTGTTATAATCAAGTGTTTGAGTGGAGTATTAAAATTATTTGGGAATTGTTTCAAAAGGGTTGAAATGGCAGCAAAAAAATGCAGAACAACATGGGTGGAATGGCTGGTGGAATATGATGGAACTGATTAGTCTGTATGTTTTATGCTTTATTCCTTTCTTGAGATATCCATTACTCCAATATCTTTCTTTATATATATCTTTTTCACTTTAATGTATTACCTTATTAGTGCAGTAAAAAAACATATATATATAATAAAGAAATGTTGAGCTTTATTTTGAAATTTAAAACATTGATGTATATAGTTTTATTTCACATTCCATTCACGCGTTTTAATAAATTAGCGTAAATAACATTTTTTTTAAGACTTGATCCTTCTTGTGATGTAGCAATAAACAAATAAACATAATTTCTTGATCCAAAATGTGATAATTAATAACGTGATATTGAATAAATTTACAAAAAAAAAACATTTTAGTTGTAATTTAATAAATAATATTAAAGAAGAAATCATCATACGGTACAGTATATACTTTTTTTAATACAAAATACAAAATTAATTGTAAATTTACCTACATTAAACTATTTAAAGCTTTTATTAATAAACACTTTAGAAAAACATGTTGTTAAAAGGAGTTGATTAAACGAATTAGTTCTTTTTAACTCAATATGATTATCATACTAGGTAAATTGATTAAAACCATTCGGAATTGAAGAGTAATTATTATAGATTAATCGATCCTGAGGAATATTAAAAGAATTTTAATTATGTTAAATTGAATGTAGGCGTGATTAAATTGATAAAATATTGTCGTTTATATAATAAGGGATATTATAAAAAGTTGAATGTGAATAAAAAGATGAATTCCAATCAAATTTGTATTTCTGAAAGTGTTACGAAGTAGGTAAATTGTCCTCATTTCTGTAAGAATTTAAATCATTTTCATTATTCTTGATATTTTCCTGCAATTGTAAGATATTAATAAAATATTTTTTTAATTCGGAAAATAATGATTTGAATCATCTTATATATATACGAATTTACCTTATATATAGTACGTTTTGTTACTCAAAAACATTTGTCATTTTTTCTTATTTTCTTGTAAAATACAAATATCTACCTACAATAATATGATTTAAAGCCATACATGAATTATTTTAATTATCCTTGAATAATCCAAAAAAAAAATAATCAAAGTTTGTAATTAATTCATTCATAAATTAGATTCCTCTGATTTATACTGATTTATAGGTAATATTTGAAAGAATAAAATTTTTTTTTCTCGTTTCTTCATTTTAGCATCACGAGTCACGTCAAAGTGAACAAGATTCTATAATAAATTTTGATACATTTGATAATTGTGATTTGTGATTTTCTTTTACATGATTTTTTTAAAAAAAATTCAAAAAGAATTATTTTCTTTCAATTTCATCTAATGAAACAAATTTCTCGTAATTAGTAAAATAGATCATCATTCCATCGTACTTTGGAAGTTTCATTTTTTCTTCAAAAAAGTTGTCGGTTATACTAAAAGTTGTGTCACGTGAATAGTAAAATAACACAAATGAGTGGCGCAGTAATTTATTAATCATCAAAGTTATCCAAATAGTTTAACTACATATAATATTAGAACGTTATGCCATCCTTAGTATGCAAAGTTCTTTGAATAAAATATTAATTTATACATTCTTAAATTATTACATAATCAAGAAATGACACGTCAGTCACGTCATGTATATAATGACGTGAGAATATTTGATTATATCTTACTCATTATAGTCAATCATGACTCATCACGATTTAAGTGATGCAATACATAAAATAGATAAAATAGCCACTTTTTCTCTTTATTTTCTTTAACCACTCTTTTCTTTCTTACTTCCTCACTTTTCTTTTTCTTTTATTTTTTTTTTCTTGTTAAGTATGGTAATAGGTAAGGTACAACCAACTCCACATCTCATTTTAAACCGTAGGTACGACCAACTACACGTTAAAAACTTTAAAAAAGTTAAAGCCATACTTAAACAAATTTCTAATAAAATTGAGTAGAGAAACCTGTGTTTATTGCTCGATCGACTTTCCCACATTACGTATATATACGTACGTATTTTATGTATGTATGTACATAGTACGTATTGTGTATATATGTAAACCAAATAATTAGATGGGGGAATGAGAAAGCTTATTTTTGACTTTACAAAAATAATTTCTTTCTTGTTCTGATGCACATGTGCATTATTTGTTTTATTTGTTTTGATTTTTACGTAAATAATGTTCTTTTATAATTTTCTTTCTTGTTTTTAATGCATGTGTGCATAAGTAGTTGAATCTGGGGCCAGAACATAACTAAAAAAACACAGTTTTACATATAGAATTTGTCAAGTTGTGAAAGTTATTATATTATATATCTATATGTCCGAACGTCTCTGCTCAATTTTTGTTCTTAGCAACCCAAATAATATTTTATTTTTTTTAAATCCTATTAATTATAAACTGGTTGTATAAGATTATAGGTAAGTGATTTCTTTTTTTCCCTGAACGAAGCTTGCCACCTCTACGTGGTGTTCAGGAGTAACAGTTGTAAGTTTATAACTGGCCAAGAGCAAGCAATATTTTATTTTACATATTTTTAGATTTCTACGCCATTTTGTATTTGAATGTCACGTAAAAATGTTTATTCATAAGTTGTGTATAACGTATCGTGAAAATCGAAGGAGTTATAAATCATTTTAAAAGAAATGTTAAAATTCACTTTCAATTATTGAAGAATATGTTTTAAATAAAACTAGCAGAAAAAAAAAAACTTTTGAGTTAGGATACTAAGGGTCATGGTGTTGTAACTTGTAACTTTCTTTTTAAATAAAATAATAATTGAAAAGGCTTTAAGAATATAGAATTTCAATGAAATTTAATCTGTAACATTATTTATTATAAAAAGAAATCGATTGTATTACTCTATATTAAAATTTTATGAAATATAATTCTAATATTCCATAATATGTAATTCTAAATTCCCTAATAATACCCATTTTTTTATAATTTTCAATCATTATTTTCATGTATTTTTCTAACTCTTCTAACTTAATATTACTACTAGTGATAACTAGTGAAAGTGATTTTTGTGGTATACGATCTTTCCAGTTTATAAAAAATTCCTCTAGTTCTTCACAAATCTTTTTCAAATGATAAAAAACCATTAAGAAAACCCCAATTTATAGTTAATTTATAAAAATCCTTTTGTGCATATCTTGTCAAAACTCTAAAGAAGGTTTTAATATTAGAACATCTCTCAGCATTATATTGTAATCTAATGATTTTTAAATATTGACAATTATTCAGGATTAATTTAAAAGTTTCAAATTCATCCTCCTCAAAGACTATAGATAAGATTTTAAGGTTTGGACAAAATTTAGCTATTGTCAAATTTAATGAGTTATCAGGATTTTCAGGTATATATAAATCTATCGAATTTTTTCCATTAATTTCCAAAAATCTAATAAAAAATTCAACTTTTTGGGAATGAATATAAAAATTTTAAAGTTTTTAATTGTGAAAAATAAACGTATTGAAATTGATCAAAATCATGTAATGAATGAACTATTCTTAAAAAAAATTTCAAGTATTTGTAAATTTTTAAACTTAGTTATAAATGACAAAGGTATATAACAATTTAATTTTAATTCAGTTAATGTTAAAAAAAAAAAATTTAAATGATGAGGGGGATATATCTTTTACATTATCAACATTTATGTGATATAAAGATTCAAAAAATATACGTTTTAAAATTATTTTGTGAAAAAATTAATTCTTTTAATCCATTTGAAGTAAGAGGAATAAAATTTAAATTTAATGATTGAATATTATGACATTTGAGATAATTGATAAAAAATTCTGAACAAATATTTGAACAACACCATAATTCTGTAAAATTTGTTAAACACCAAGTGGATAAATAGATTCAAAATAATAATCGATGTAATAATAATCCAAAGTTTTCAATGATGTAACTTGATTCATAAGCATTTTTAATAATTCTTGTAGTAATATGCACCTACGCATTCGAATACAATGAAGTGAATCGAAATCTTTTGTATCAAAAGGAAAATTTCGAATTATTCGTTTGATTCCACGGATTGTAATAACTTTGATAAATGACGGATAATTAAACAATGGAGGTTTTCGAGTTTGAGTAAGATTGATAATGAAAAACTCTTCCTTTTGCAACAAATCCTTTGATTCCTTAGGAAGAAAAGTAATTAACGTACTAATATAATAATTGATAATGATACATGTGATTTAAAACCATAACCATCATAATCTTCTTGAGGAAAATCTTGAAAATTCCAAACATTTCTTCACAAATTCTGACGGCAATTTCACAGAATTGACGATTAACTAATAAACATGAATATAAAGTATTTTTATCTTCTTCTAATTATTCAAATATACAATTAAGACAATCAGCAATAAGTTGACGAGACATTTTTTTTTCAAAAAAGAATGAAAATTGTATTTCTGCTTTACAAGTTTACGTTATATATATGGAAAGGGTAAACAATTTTGCCGTGATTAAACTGTGCCGTAATTAAACTTCTTTTGGAACTCATCTTTCCCATATAAAAAATTTTCACGAGCTCACTTAATTATAATAATACAGAATTATAATAATACATAATCGCAGTAATATTATTAATCACCAGTGAACCGATTTTCATTGATTTTTTATAGAATTAGTTAGTTACTTTTATTTTATTATTTTTATTGTATTATATTATTTTACTAATTTATGTTATATTGTTTTAGTAGATAGTTGATTTATAGAATTTATACTTTTATTTCATAATTAACAAGAGATTATTAAAGAAGAGTTAGGATTATAAAATGTAAAATATATGAAATGTGATTTATTTTGAACTTGTTCATACATGACATTCGAATTTATAATAAATATCTTTTAACCATAATTGAGTTAATTATGCAAATTTTTAATATCTTAATTTCATCATATTTACTCAGAATTGTTATTTTTTGTGCAGCAGTGAAATTTAATATTAACATGGATTTTAAGTATGTAGTTTTGTATAGATTTTTATTTAAAATTCAAACAAATTTAAAATAAGTATTATTCAATATTATAGTTTTGTTACTTTAAAAATATTGTATAAATACATTTTCTATAGTAAATAAATATTGTTAATTAATGTTAAGAACTATCATTAAAATTTTGAGAACATTATAGCTGTTAAAAATATAGTAAAATCTTTAAACAATAGAATTAGGCGTTCTAAAAAAAAGAAAAATAAACATTATTAATATTTCTTGAATAAAAAAAACTAAATAATTCCATTTCTACTATTTACATGAAGCTAACTGCCTAAAAAGAACGGTTAATTATAAAATTTTATAATACCGAAAATTTAATGTTTAATCCTTAATGTTATGTGACACGTCAGGTATATTATCTACGTCTGACGCACGTCAACTATCAACTGAACTAACGCAAATTGACGCCTGAGGTACAACATATATAATTTAATTGAATAATACTCATGTGCAAAATAATTTACTAATGTTGCCAAAATATTTTTTTTAATTTATACTCGAAAATATTTCCAAGTTAGCTCAATATTTTAAAATTGTAAACTTTATTTAGTATAAAATAAAAAATTTTTTGCACGACTACATTAAATAGTTGATCCAGATTAATCCATTTCTTTAATAAATTCATGAACTTTAATAAATAAATCATCATAATATCGAACTTTAATATTATACATTCAAATTCTTTCACTTCATTCTTCAAAGAAAATAAATCTTCACTTTTAATGTTAACCGTTGCACTGTCTTTAATGAAAGTATTCATAATAGCCAAATATTTGACCCTCTTCTTTTTCATTATATATTCCTTTATATAAGGTAAAATATCCATCCTAAATCCTTTCATTCTAATACTAATTATTAATTTTTCAATAAAGGTATTTTGAGAATTTTTTAAAAATATTTCCAGATCAATTAAATTATCAATAAGATTTAAACTTAATATTTTAATTTAAAAGGAAGAACTTGACATAAATTTCTTAATATAATTAAACCACTATTAATGTCATTACCTAATAATTTTTTTGCATTAATAGAAAGATAATTTTAAGATTTTGTTTTATGTTTTCAATTAAATCAATGGAAAGATAATTAATCTGTTCTTTAAACTCATATAAATCAAGAAATTTGATATTCTTACAATATATTATAATTTTATTAAGTATTTGTTGTTCTGATAATGATAGACTACGACAAAATTTGTACCCAATATTTTTCTAAATAATCACCAGATTTTTGTAATAATAATTTTATTGATTCATCAATTTGTGATCTCTCATCTATAAATAAAGATTTTAATTTAAATGGATTATTTAAATTAACAATTTGACGAGTAAAACTACTATTTAAAGAAATTACAATAAATGACATGAACAAGATTCTAAAACATTTAATTGTTCAAATATTTTATCTAAATTGATTATACCATTAAAATTGACTTCATATAGTATGATCGTATGTATTTGAACAATTACCACCTTTTGATAACAATAATGATTGAAATAAAGGAAAATGATTTGAGCTAATACAATTTTTTGAAGATTTTGATGTATTTTAATTATTTGTAATAAATTACTTTTAATATATATATTTATCATAATTGTCGAAATATGAAAAATCAAGAGTATTATCAATATAAAGTCTTAAACTTCCAACATTATTATTGATGAAATTCCGATTTCGTAAAATTATTTCAAACATATCATTTTGATAGGAATCATAATTTGGAACATTTAAGATCTCAATGGCTAAAGTATGTATAATTACTTCATTTTCAATAAACATTTTAATTAGTGACGTTTGAATCAATCCAATAAAATCAATTTCTAAATTTATATCATTAAAAGATATATATCTTCAAGTTTTAAAGTTCTAATAATAATCTTCCGCGTATTCAAATATTTTATAAAATTAGGATAATTGAAAAGTGTTTTTGAAGATAATAAATTATCATTAATTCTATATTCTTTTAATTTTAATTTTAAATCATTATTTAAATTATGCAAGTATGTTTCAATAAATTTATAATTTCCAGTAGTAATTGAAAATGGATTTTTCCATAATAGTGGAATCGTTAAACGACACCAAAATCTGTTAATTAAAATACATGAATATAAAGTTGATAAATCCCCTGAAAATATTTTTGACATGACACGACATATTGTTAGGCGAAGAGAAAAAAAAATATATTTGTGTATCATATATACATAGTCACACGATTCGTGTTAATCAGTTGGGCTAGAGTAGATCATTACTCGCAAAATAATTTATAAAATTTTGAGGCGCAGCAATTTCATGAACCGACGGAACCGACGCATAAAATTTTCGGTAGATTTCCTGCACACATAACTGGCAATTTCTGCATAATTTATCATAAAAACTCCTTCATCCCGTTATTTAATCTATTATTTATATTAAATAATACTAAATATTAACACATTTCGTATTATGTGGCGCAGTATTGAAATAATTAATGATCATGTGGTGTAGATCATTTTATCATGAAACGAATCTTGAAACTCCACATGGTGATAAACATTAATAATAGAAATTATGATGTAACATTAAAAACATTTTAAAGAATAATGAAACATTAGAAGTCAATAACCATAAAATAAATACCAATCATCTAAAATTTTTCAATTTTTTCATTTGTTGCGGTAGAAAGTGTTTCTTTCGTACGTATATTTTCTTGAAACCTATTTTATAAAAATATTATTATATTGCAATGTATAGGTTAGATATAATTCATATAAATGATAACTGAAAATTTCCCACTCCCCATTAATATAGAATACTTTGTGCATATATCTATTATAAAGTTTAAAATAGCTAATTTTTATGGTATTACATATTATGACATCACATGACATGTTATATAGATCATAATTTAGTTTATAAAAAAAGAAATTGTTTAATTTTAGGTTTGGTTCACGATTTAATTTAGAATTACTTTAGGCTTACGTATAGTTCGTCCCTGTAATTTGTATTGTGACTTTGTTTACATGGAAATAAAATAAAAATAAAAATAAATTGTTTAATTTTATTAATTCATATGTAACTTTTAAATAAAGTGAATTATTCAAATTACAAACTAAGAGACTTTGCAAATATTGCTACTCTAAACCTTAGAGTTTAAATAATTCTAAATAAAAACAATAAAATTTAATTTAATAGATAGTTAAGATCCATCTTATCTAAAAATTGGTTATTATAAGTTAATATTAATCATAGTACGCAAGAAAATATTCTAAAAATATACTTACAATCAAAAACTTTTATTCATCTTGTTCTTCTGAATGAAAATTGGGATTATATATTTCATCACCAACTAATTTTAGGATTAAAATAAAATTATAAGTAAGCCTATTTACTATACGTGTAATTCTAAAATAATTATTATGATGACGAAATAAATAATTTTTGAGATCTAGAAATAATTACTTTTATCATTATTATCCAACTTTACTTTCTTAGGGTTAGTAATAGTTAAATCATCTTGTCCTTCTACTTTTAAGTAATAGAAAATTAATAATTTTACTTACTGTTGATAAATAATTCATAAAATAACTCATTACCATTAAAATAAATTCTTTTATTAGATTCATCTTTTACTTCTTAAAAAAAAAATAATAATAATAAACTGTTAAATTATTTCAATTAAGAAATTTCAAAATTATGTATTAATTATACCTGTGATCATGCCATCTTGTAAATCAAAGTCAAATTGTATACTGTGATAAGCTATAAAACAAATGTTATAAATACTATACTTTTCCATATATAATTTGTTTTGATAAATATTGATGATTACCTTCTTGTTCTTCTATTAAATAAAATATAGATGAACAGTTATTATGATGTTAACTAATCTTGATAAATAAAATTTTTTTACCTTTTGTTGCATTTCTTGGTTCAGGCAAATCTTTAAAATAATAAACTCTGCTACTAGAATTTCTAAAAAAGGAGTTAATAGAGTTAGTAGAACTAATACTAAAATTTGTATTTAATTGAACGCTTGTAATGTTATTTGTCTGTTGTTCTTCGTTTTCATTATTGAGATATGATCTATACAAAGATCTTATTTCATTGTAAAGAGTAAAAATATCAGGTCTTCTTGTTTGATCAGCATCCCAACATTGTTCCATTAGTTCTTTATATTTTAAAGGAGTTCCCGGTATTATTCTTGGCCTCATTCCATTTATTATTTTTAGCGCAATATCATAATCATGTTTATAAACAAAAGGTGGTTGTCCGGATGAGATTTCCCACATAAGCATGCCAATACTATAGACATCAGACGCAAAAGAATATTTCATTTTTACAATAACTTCAGGAGCTATATAAGGAAGATTTCCATATATACTATTTAATGGCTTATCAGCTGGTCCACAAAATCCAAAATCACTTATACGAATTTTTGCATGATTAAATAATACATTTCCAGAATGCAAATCTCTGTGAATTGCTTTTTCTTTATGAATTCTAGATACACCAAACACTATTTGATAAATAATATGAATTCTTCTTTTCCATGTAAGCTTATTATGATTTTGATGTAAATATTCTCTTAAATTATTATGCAATGCGAACATTACAAGCATATAATTCCCATCTGATGGACCTTTTGTTATACCAAAGCATTGAACAACATGATTATGTTTGTTACTTATATGTAAATGAGATTTACCCTATAAAAAAATAATGGATATTATTATATAGTAATTATTTTAGTCACCTTTTCAAATAATTTTAAATTACATACCTCTTCAAACCAACTTTTATTAGCACTTTCAACATTTTCTAACTTTTTGAGTATTACATCATGTCCTTTATCTCTTTTTAATTGTTTTTCTTTTGAATCCCATTCTTCATAACTTCCATCAATCCTATATGCTGTATAAATTTCAGAACATCCACCTTTAGTTAAATATTCAATATTTTGTAATTTATCATATGGGACCCATTCTACTATTCTATTTGGTTTAAGTGTTTCCATTTGACATTGTTGTATTAAATTATCAATATCATTATTTCCAGATGTCCAGTTTGAAAATTTTGATTTTAAATAATTTCGAACACAATGTTCACAGTATAATGTAGCTAAACATTCATCATGACAATTTTCACAAATTCTTTTTATTCCTTCATTATCAAGAATTTTAAAATAGTCAAAATCTTTATTTAATAATTTTACTGCATATGATTTTTCATCTTTTGTAAGAGATTTGTCAGCAAGAATAGTTTGTTGCCTAAATTCAAATTGTTTGTCTAAGGTATCTTGAGTATTAAAATCTGTTAATGCATATGCTCTATGATACGCAGCAAAAACTATGTCTTCTCGAATAGAAGTCATAATGTGAGATAAACATAAATTTTTTTTATTAAAAATGAAAATTATGGATTAACAAATTCCGGAGCGAGTAATTCTTGCTTTATTGCGCGATCTTTTTAATTAGACGAGTTAATTGTATCATTCATGCGTAATAGAGTTTGTATCCGTCCATCTGGATATCAGATATCCGTTTATAGCTAATTTATCCAGATTTAATCCGTCCATCCGGATATCCGATTTTTGTGTTATCCGTTTATCCGGATATCCAATTATTTTTGCAGGCTAAATCAGGCCAAATTTATAATTCCGACCAGGATTATACCTTGGTAAGATGTTCATTTCCATTTTTAGCGATAGCCGTTCCACAAAAATTACTTTTTCTAAAATCGAAATTTTCCTTTTTAAGAGGTTGTGTAGCATATATTTCCAAAAAAGGAAATAATTTAGCATAATTCCGGCCGGCATTATAAAATTGGTCCAAGTTACTCAACAGATAATATCCGGATATCCGGAATTCTGCATGCATCCGTTCAATCCGGATATTCGAATATCCGCGGATATAACGGATAACTCTAATAATGCATAATATAAATAAATATTGTACGGTACAGGCGATAAATAGAGTGATGATTAATGTGGTATAACCCAAATAAAGAATGGTCAATCCCGTTATTGAATTTCTAAATCACGTAAGTCACGTGAACCAAAGAACACCAAAATAACGACCGTCCCTACTTCAAACAATATGGCTCGCTTCGTTTTGATATAGTCCGCTCACAGCAACAGATAGCCAGATGGAACCGTTTGACTTGTAGTGTCATGCGATCTAATGAACATAGTTTGTTCCCTTAACCTAAAATTATTAACCAACCGATCCTGATCCAGTTGATTTTAAACAATTACATCTGTCAACAAGACCAATACCGCTACGCTTAGATCGTTACATTAAGGCCAGTACTGATAAAGAAAAAGAGTTTCGCAAAAGAGAAAAAAATAGATTGCGTAGACTTCGGGCACGTAATAAAAAAAAGAAAAAACTACCGCTTTTACCAACTGGTCACGTGGCGATCCGCGTGTTTATTATCAAAAGTTTATTATCAAAGAACGTATATTTATTCCAACCAAACCGTTAATTACGATTAGGTACAACATGTTTAAACGTCAAACCAGCACCCCCTTTTAGACAAGTTCCTCCCCTTTACTTTCTATAGACGAGGCCACGCCCTCGCAATCAAATACAATTTTAATATTAACATAGACCAACATTCCCCATTTTATCTCTCTAATTTATTCATCGGGAATCAGAACACCATTAATTTACCATTAGCATTATCACACAATTTTAGCTCAAAAACTTCATTTTCTTTTTACACCGATGGTTCACTCACCAAAAACAAAACAGTTCTGACAACACACAAATGGGATTCACCCACAATCTTCCAAGGATCAACCACGTTCAACCCGTCATCAAAACCAGAGCTAAAACGTACGCATTAACAACTTGCCCTCATTATCACTCCTCAATATCCATTTATACTGACTCGCAAAATGTCATTGACAACTTTTATAAAATCACCAATAAACTTCTCTCCATCAGACGTCTTTTGAAAATCAATAATCATAACGCCTGGCGACTTATCGACATAATAATAGAACTGAAATCTTTAAAAGTTTCTTTAAAGCTCGCTCAGACAACACATACAACGACCTTATATCCTGTCCAACCTGCAAACTCCACTCTCACCCTGACACCAACGAACATCTTTGCTTTTGCCTCAATCTTAGACCATTTATTAATCAAATATTACAGACACACAAAACTGTTCTGATCAACTTACTAATTAAATTTACACATAATCATAGACTAATCAAATTTATTCCGCAAAGCGTGAACTCATTTCAGTTTCTACTCACGACGTCTACCTGGTTTTACACTAATTGGTGCCTCAAAACTTAGTGAAACTAATCAATTCCTACACCAACAAACACTCAGATGATTTTTGAATTCACCTCCTTACAACAAAGTTTATACCAGGAAATCTGGACCAAACGCAACAACAACCTACATACTTGAGAACGCTCCCACAATATTACGAAACGCAAAAAAGACGATATAAATTCAGACATCGCAAACGCAACAACAACCAAAACACACATATTAATGACCAATCGCTCAACGTTGCTGACACCGACTCGACGGTCCGCAGCAGCGTACAAAATCTATTCAAATTTTGCCGGATTTTCCGAAAGGTTTTTGAAAAATCCGGTAAAATTTTTTAAATCTTGAATGATTTCGGACATTTTACTGCAGATTTCGGTATTTTTCAGAAGATTTCCGTAATTTTTCTAAAAACTTTTTGTACGCTGGTCCGCAGTGTCATCCGGAATCACTCCAACCGCACCACGTGACAATACATGGATGATCCTTATTACGTCTAATTATTTACATTCAGGCGGATGGACAAGATTGTCTATGGAGGACGCAGGTTCGATCCGTCCAGCCAATGGATGTTCTATGAATTATACTGCGTGAGCCTATACGAAGGTGTAGATCGTAGCCATTGTGGTAGGAAAGTGCGTAGATCATGATATCACCGACTTCGGTCACAACCGTGTTACCAACCAATGGTAGGTAGTCGACACCCAGGGGGAGCAATCCTATCCTGGGCTACCAAATAATTAATTTACTTTGTTCCTTATCGGACGGGTTAGGGTTCAAATTGGTTCTTCTCAAACACAAGTGAGGGCCCGATCTTGATCTTTGATCATTTTTGGGTGGTAATTTCCTTCTATAGCGCTTCATTCTTTTCTTTTGAATTGTAACAGCCTCGATAGGCAATTTCCTGCTTGACATAAAATAAATAAATAAATAATTTGCATACAGATTTTATTCAAGATAATAGACTTTTTTTACAATTTTTTTCTTTTTATTATTCTTTTTTTAATATACAGTAGATTCTTTATCTTCTTTTTTCTTACAATGCTGCTCATGCCTAGTGTTGTTTTTTATAAATATCAGGCAGGACGACTCTCGAGAGGGTTGAATTTATATTGGTATCGGTGTAGTATAGCAGTTTCTTTTGTAAGGGCTCTGCTCCCGAATTTGTATTGCTCCCGTCATTGTCTAAATTTTTAAAATAAAATAAAATAAAAAATAAATAACGAAAAAACTCTCTCGTAATTTTTGGTACCAATAACCAACTTTTTTACCTGCGTGTCGTCGACAAAATATCAATATTTCAGTTTACACCAAATAACATTTTATTAAACACTTTTATAATATTTTTTACTAACTCCAAAAGACCAATATGATTCTGTGGGGTTTTTTTACGTTATCTATGTTTATTTTCTTCCCAGTGCGTTCTACTGATGCTGCGACTATGTCACTGCCATCAGGTCTTTTCGAAGGATGGTTCTGTATGGGATATGCATTCTGCGTCAATTTTATATACCTAATATCATGTAATTAATACCTTTGTAATTTTGTATTGTATCGGCAGATTGCTTGCCTTTCTTGAAATAAAAATAAATAAGTAAAATAAACGTAACAAAATAATGAAACAAACTGTAAAAAGAAAAGATTATGTAATTTGAAAATTTATACACAAGATTTGTACATTTATTATTGCAGAATATAAGTGAACAACTAGTGAGAATTTCTGTTATAACTTGATTTATATCAAATGAGATCATGTTCAAACAAATCCTCTAAAGTTGATTTATAGACAAATTACAGTTTAGTAAAGTAGTTGGTGCTTTAAATTAAGCAATTATAACATTCAAATTAATTATATAAAAAACAATCCAATAAGAAACCATGGTTTAAAGTTAAACAAGTCGTATGCATGTTACAGTCGGTATCGTTATCTTACTTTATATATATATGTTGGCCATGGTTATTTATACCCCAATTTTGTTATTCGTACCCCATGCCAGAATTAAGGAAAATTTTGCCAAGAGATGGTCCAAGTTACCGACTCTTAACGGATAATATCCGTATATCCGGAATTCTGCATGCATCCGTTCAATGAATATCCGCGGATATAACGGATAACTCTAATGCGTAATATAAAAAATATTGTACGGTACAGGCAATAAATAGAGTGATGATTAATGTAAAAACCCAAATAAAGAATGGTCAATCCCGTTATTGAATTTCTAAATCACGTGAGTCCCGTGAACCAAAAAACTTACCAGTTAACAAAATAACGAAACAAACTGTAAAAAGAGAAGATTACGTAATTTGAAATTTACATACAAGATTTGCATATTTATTATTGCAGAATATAAGTGAACAAACTAATGAGAATTTCTGTTATAACTTGATTTATATCAAATGAATCTTCTAAAGTTGATTTTTAGACAAATTATTAGTAGTTGGTGCTTCAAATCAAGCGATTATAAAATTCGAATTAATTATACAAAAAATAATCCACTGTTGATTAATAAGAAACCATGGCTTAAAGTTAAACAAGTCACATGCGTGTCCTACTACATCATAACCCTATACGGTATCGTTGTCATACTTTATATTGTTTCTGTTATATTACAAAAATTATAAGATAAATAAATAAATAATAAAGTGGAAGAAAAAAGAATTGCAAATTTGTTTATAAACAAGAATAATTATTTTATAAAAATATACATTTTTTTTTATTACGCAAAAAAATTCAAAAAAAGTGTATTTATCTATATATTATAAAAGTTTAAAATAGCTAATTTTTATGGTATTATATATTATGATATTACGTGATTTGTTATATAGATCATAATTTAGTTTATTAAAAAAAGAAATTGTTTAATTTTATTAAATCATATATAACTTTTAAATAAAGTGAATTATTCAAATTACAAACTAAGAAACTTTGCAAATATTGCTACTCTAAACCTTAGTGTTTAAATAATTCTAAATAATAACAACAATAAAATTTAATTTAATAGATAGTTAAGATCCATCTTACCTAAAAATTGGTTATTAAAGTTAATAATAATAATAGTAAGCAAGAAGATATTTTAAAAATATACTTACAGTCAGAAACTTTTAATTCATCTTGTTCTTCTGGATGAAAATTGGGATTATATATTTCATCATCATCTAATTTTAGGATTAAAATAAAATTATAAGTATCTTATTTTATTACACATATAATTCTTAAATAATTTTTATAATAACGAAATAAAATTTCTGAGATCTAGAAATAATTACCATTATCATTATTATCCAACTTTACTTTCTTGAGGTTAATAGTTAAATCATCTTGTCCTTCTACTTTTAAGTAATAGAAAATTAATTATTTTACTTACTGCTGATAAATAATTCATAAAATAACTCATTACCGTTAAAATAAATTCTTTTATTAGATTCATCTTTTACTTCTTAAAAAAAAAAATAATAAACTATTAAATTATTTCAATTAAGAAATTTCAAAATTATGCATTAATTATACCTGTAATCATGTCATCTTGTAAATCAAAGTCAAATTGTATACTATGATAATCTATAAAACAAATGTTATAAATACTATACTTTTCCATATATAATTTGTTTTGATAAATATTGATGATTACCTTCTTGTTCTTCTATTAAATAAATATAGATGACCAGTTATTATGATGTTAACTAATCTTGATAAATAAAATTTTTTACCTTTAGTTGCATTTCTTGGTTCAGGCAAATCTTTAAAATAATAAACTCTGCTACTAGAATTTCTAAAAAAGGAGTTAATAGAGTTAGTAGAACTAATACTAAAATTTGTATTTAATTGAAAGTTATCTATGCTTGTAATGTTATTTGTCTGTTGTTCTTCATTTTCATTAATAAGATATGATCTATATAAAGATCTGTCTCTTATACACATCTAGATGTGTATAAGAGACAGGTTTATACCAAATAACATTTTATTAAACACTTTTATAATATTTTTTACTAACTCCAAAAGACCAATATGATTCTGTGGGGTTTTTTTACGTTATCTATGTTTATTTTCTTCCCAGTGCGTTCTACTGATGCTGCGACTATGTCACTGCCATCAGGTCTTTTCGAAGGATGGTTCTGTATGGGATATGCATTCTGCGTCAATTTTATATACCTAATATCATGTAATTAATACCTTTGTAATTTTGTATTGTATCGGCAGATTGCTTGCCTTTCTTGAAATAAAAATAAATAAGTAAAATAAACGTAACAAAATAATGAAACAAACTGTAAAAAGAAAAGATTATGTAATTTGAAAATTTATACACAAGATTTGTACATTTATTATTGCAGAATATAAGTGAACAACTAGTGAGAATTTCTGTTATAACTTGATTTATATCAAATGAGATCATGTTCAAACAAATCCTCTAAAGTTGATTTATAGACAAATTACAGTTTAGTAAAGTAGTTGGTGCTTTAAATTAAGCAATTATAACATTCAAATTAATTATATAAAAAACAATCCAATAAGAAACCATGGTTTAAAGTTAAACAAGTCGTATGCATGTTACAGTCGGTATCGTTATCTTACTTTATATATATATGTTGGCCATGGTTATTTATACCCCAATTTTGTTATTCGTACCCCATGCCAGAATTAAGGAAAATTTTGCCAAGAGATGGTCCAAGTTACCGACTCTTAACGGATAATATCCGTATATCCGGAATTCTGCATGCATCCGTTCAATGAATATCCGCGGATATAACGGATAACTCTAATGCGTAATATAAAAAATATTGTACGGTACAGGCAATAAATAGAGTGATGATTAATGTAAAAACCCAAATAAAGAATGGTCAATCCCGTTATTGAATTTCTAAATCACGTGAGTCACGTGAACCAAAAAACTTACCAGTTAACAAAATAACGAAACAAACTGTAAAAAGAGAAGATTACGTAATTTGAAATTTACATACAAGATTTGCATATTTATTATTGCAGAATATAAGTGAACAAACTAATGAGAATTTCTGTTATAACTTGATTTATATCAATGAATCTTCTAAAGTTGATTTTTAGACAAATTAGTAGTTGGTGCTTCAAATCAAGCGATATATAACATTCGAATTAATTATACAAAAAATAATCCACTGTTGACTAAT